CAAAGTCCACGTCAGCATGGGCCCACCGTATACCCTTCGCCTGTCATGGTCCCACCGGTTTACTTACAGGGGCGGGTCCCATGGGACGGCCCGGGTAGACCGTTAACAAATATGAATATAGTGACTCAGCTGATGAACTACGGGCCCCGCCTTGTCCCGGTTGCAGCACCACCACCGGTTCAATCCGTTTCCAGACCACCAAATGTTTACCAACAACGTGAAGATCTGCCAAGATACCGCAGCGGGACCGGGACTTATCTTCCAAATCCCGTAAGACAATTTTACCTTTTTACCCTTCTTTTTTTACTCCTTATGTTGCTTGCTTTCTCAGAAGTTTGTATTTTTTATTTTTTTACAGAAGGTGTCTGTAAGGGAGAGACATAGTTCAGGGTCGAGAAGGGGGAACTACAACCATGACAGAAGTGAGAATCACAATGAAGGTAACTGGAATGGGAATTCAAAATCAAGAGGCTCAAACCGGAATCATAGTCGTAACCAAATGGATAAATCAAACTCGTTTAGGGCAGAAAGATCAGTGAATTCATCATATAGACATGATACGTTTGCTACATATCAGACCCAAAATGGTCCTTTACATGGGAGTTCAAGTCATGGAATTGGGATGTATCAAAACCCATCATCTGCCAATGGGTCAAGTGTTCCTTCCATGGTGATGGTGTATCCGTATGAGCATAATAATATGGGTTATGGTTCGCATAGTGAACAGCTTGAATTTGGGTCAATAGGTCCGGTTGGGTTTTCTGGAGTGAATGAGCAATCACAGTCGCAGATAAATGAGGGAGGTCGTGAAAGAAGAGGGACATTTGAGGAAAATCGGTTATATGGGGCTTCTCTACAACAACGATCTTCACCAGATCAGCCTTCATCGCCACATAATCAAAGGTAAACTATTTTGCTTCTAAGTTTATCTTGATTTTTTCAGTAATCTCTTAACATCTTTTATATGAAAAAGAAAGAATGGCATAAATGGTATTTACCATCATAGCAATGGTCCGTAACACTAGATTATGAAGTTTTTGTATTGTTGACAACAGGAGGATTTGATTCTGTTCATCTGCCACATCACTTGTCATTTGCCAAAGGTGATCATCAAGATTCCATCTGGGGCTTTACAAAACAAGATTCACAATATCATCACACAGAAACTCTCCTTGGTCAAAGGTAACAAGCAGATTCAAATATTCTAAAAAAGTAGATTTTGACATAATGCGCTTGTGTGTAAACTGCCAAAGTTGGGGGTTGTGGTGGTGGTATGTTGTTGGGAAGATTTTATTTTTCCATTTTGTTTTCTTTACTTTTTTTAATTTTGCATCATTGCCTTGTAGGGGCTGATGATGATTATGTACTTTTATTTCCGTATACAACTCTATTTCTTGAGATGTAGAATATTTTTAGGGTATCCATAACCCTTGTATACGTTTTGTTGCTGGGGTTTTAACTGATGATGATGATGATATTGGTTAGGGTTTGTAGTACACTAAGACACAAGTTTGTACTAACTTCCTTTGACCCTCTTGTGACAATGTTCAGTGTATCATTTATAATAGAAGAATCAAATGAAGAAGTCGTAGTTTAGTATTGAATACTTGTTTTGTTGAATGTTTTAATTTATCTCTAGATTCTTAAGTCACTAATCTCTACTTCATCTTGTATCGACTTTATTTTTATAAGCTTTGTGATCCACTAATACAAACAAAACACCCAATCAAAACTTGTAATTTCTATAGAAAAAAAAAAAAAAAAAATCAGTATGTCACAACAATCACAAACTCATTTCTTCCTGATAAAAAGATTGAACACTTTTCATCGATCAACTCAATACAAAAGATTGTTTCAATAAAACTGCAAAATTGATAACCATAAACAAAATTTGTCAAAATTTCACTTAGACCTCAATCCTGGAACATTCTTGAGCCCCATTTTACCAAGAACAAGCCTAGGAATTGCAGGAGGATTATCAAGCCCCATGCTTCTGCTAAACTCATTAGCAAGCTCTACTAGCCTATATTTATCCTTCCCAATCGTCTTATTTGAATTATAATACCCAAGCCATGCCTGATATGCAGATTCTTTGTTCTTCATTTCCACATTAGACAACGCCTTCTCCACCTGTAACAAATTTCCAACTCACCAAAGTCAACCTTTGACTTACTTCCACAAAAGTCAAAATCAAACATCTAAAACACTCACCTTTTTCTTTGTATCCGGATCTACTAAAGGTAAAGCAGCTTTTGAAATTGGCAAATCTTTAAGAGTAGACAAAAAGAACTCTTCCCATGGTGCTAACATTATTATCCCTTCACCTTCTTTCCCTTTACGCCCTGTTCTTCCTAGCCTATGAATGTACTGAGCTTTATCAACTGGAACCCCAACCTATAAAGATTCAACACTTTTTATATTAATTCCAAAAAACATGTCATTTTTAGTATAATTTTGATTAAACTTTATACCTGAATGACAAGTGTGACATCTGGATAATCCACCCCACGTGCTGACACATCAGATGTTACAAGAATAAGACCCTTTGATCCCCTAAACTCATCTGAAATTCGAGTCCTATAACTTTGTGGCTTTCTTGAATGAATTTCTCTCACATTTAACTTCAGCTCACCAAGTAAGTCTGCAACAAGTTTTGTAAACATTGCAGTCGTGCAAAACACAAGAACCTGAATTTAAATATATAATGAACTTTAACATCATACACTTGAAAACATGTGTAATTAAGAAAATGGACAACTTTTCTTTATTTTCACAAGATCCAAGAAATCAGACCTTATAGTCAGAATCATCTGCAATATGATCTTTTAGGAGAGTGTACAGTATCGAAAATTGCTTATCCAGTGGAGCAATTAAATGTTTTTGTTGGACCTAAAAAACAATAAAGATAAATGTCAGTGAATTCAATAGATTTTGTAACAAACATTCAAGAAAAGAATATTAATATTTAATATTAATTACCTGTGTGTGGGTCTCTTCACTACCTTCCTGGACAGTGTTGATGTATTCATGGTCTCTTTTTAAAGCAATATGGCAAATTTGGCGTACCTTTATGTCAAAAAGTAAATTTCAGAACTTTTTTCAAAAAAAAAAAATTGTATGAAATTATTCAATTATAAAAACTCGATTAATATTTATATTATAAAAAAAACACCTCAGGTGGGACAGTGGCTGAAAATAGAAGTGTTTGTCTTTGTTTTGGTGTAGCTGCTATGATTCTTTCAATATCTTTTCTAAATCCCATGTCCAATAAATGATCAGCTTCATCAAGAATTAAGACTTTGATGCTCATTAGTCTAGTGGCAAATCCTGCAGTATTCTCAATATGATCTTTCAGCCTGCCAGGTGTCGCTACAAGGATCTGAGAATATAAACATTTTTAATTAATAAAATTTAAAATGTTTATGACTTATGAGTTGTGAGAATTTTGGTTTTTGAAAATGTGACCTGGCATGGGCTTGCTTGCATGCGTTTTTGTTCAAGACCAAGGCGGGTCCCACCAATGACAACTTGGACACCAATGGAAGGATGGTATTTTAGTAATTTCTTGGCTTCCATGGCAGCTTGACTTGCAAGCTCTCTTGTAGGGCATATGACAAGGACAACAATTGGAGAACGCTTTTGATCACGGCTGACAGGTGGCGATTTTGCAACAACTTCGATCGATGGGAGCTGAAATTTAAAGTATTTTTAAAATCAAGATTTCTTTATAAACATGTTAAGATCACAAAAGTTATAAAAAGATGTTAAATTATAGTCTTACAAGAAATGCAACAGTTTTTCCAGTTCCTGTTCTAGCCTTAGCCAAAACATCCTTCCCTGAAAAGTTAAGAAAACTAATTAATTGAATTAATGAAGTATTTAGACTTTTTGAATTTTACATTGTTTTTTTTTTTTAAATAAGAACCTTTAAGAATGACAGGAAGTGTTGCCTCCTGAACAACAGTCATCTTTTCATAGCCAGCATCCTTAATTGCTTTTAGAGATTGTGGTGAAACTGCACATTGATCGAACCTGTAGAGAATGTATGGAAGATCAATTACTTGACGATGAAAACAATCATATAAGTTCAGTATCACACAAAATCTAAGTACCTTGTTCCACTCAGATAGGATTCGCTTCCATCAGGTGAAGCTCTAGGTGAACTCGATGCAATATTTTTCACTGAATGTCCATTTCCTAATACCTCGACATCATCATCGAGGTCTTCATCTTCATCATCATCATCATCATCTTCATCGCTGATCAATTCTCTGAACTTACTGGTAATGTTCTTATGTTCCTCTTCTTCATCTTGATCAGACGACATCAAGTTTGCTTTACTCATGCTCTTACCTCCTCTTCCACCTCTCCCCCTGCCATTGAAATTATCGTCTCTTCTTTTTGACACAAACCCATCATCCGCTCTTGTTTTATCACGAGAAAATCTATCATTTCTTCTGTCTACTTCACCACCAAATCGCCCTCGCCCTCTTGAACTACCAGAATCTCTCGCTCCTCTTCCATTTCCGAATCCATTCTCCCTTTTGGAGACGAACCCATCATCTCTCCTTCCAAATTCACCACCAGAACGCCCTTTTCCCCTCGAATCACCATTAAAAGAACCCCTACTTCCTCCTCGTCCCCTCTCTCTGTCTGAATCACCCTCTCGCTTTCTCTTAACAGTTGAACCAGCACCACCTCCCCAATCGTTTTCACCATCGTCGCTTTCGCTATACAAACGAGATTTTTTAAACGAGTCGGACTTCAATTCACTAACCCAGTCACTAAGTTCAGCTTCATCTTCAATTAAGCTCTTAGCGGACCGATCTTCAGAGCCGTGTTTGGAAGCCCTTGTCGAAAACTGCAACTGGGATTGAGCTGTCGTTATCAGATTAGGGAGCCCTAATTTCTTAACTGGCGAGGACGATTGGTACTTCATTTTGTGAGGAAATACCCGAGTGAAAACCTCGTTTCCCTTTGATACTGATGGGTTTGATTTCATGATGAACCGGGTTACGAGGAATGAAGACGATTTAAGGAGACGGAGGTGTGGCGGTGAAAAGAAGTTGAAGGGCATGCTACAGTGGAAATGGAAGCCAAGATTTTGCGGCGATAGGGGGCTGTGGTGGTTTGTGAAGGAAGAGGAATGGGAGGTATGTAAGAACGAGAAAAATGGTGCCGGAGAATTTGTGTAAGCGGCGGAAACAGAGGGAAAATTTTGGAGGGTAGACCTAGAGAATAGGGTTTAGGCCCTCTTCCGAGAAAAGGGTTTAAGGTCTTGACGATGATAATAAACGGAAGGTTTGTTATGGTGCGAGTCCTCCCATCCCACGTGGTAGTTGGATACATTTCAAATAGGGTTAATCATAACGGAAAATGACCTAAAAGGTAAAATTGTTTTGGATGTATACACCTTTAATATATTTTTTTTCTTATAAAATATATGAGTAAATTGAGTAATCTAACCCTATAAACAATTTTTTTTGGAAAAATGACTACTTGATCTGTAATAGCAGATTCCGGAGCACGATGTTTTGTTCCAAATGTGTGCTCCGGAATACGACATTCTGAAGTATTCATGATATTGTTCCGTAGTGGTTGTCGGTTGGTGGGGATAAGGTCCAGAATCTGGCGTCCGGAACGGCCATACATTCTGAAGTGGTGGTTCCGAAGAGATATATTTAGGGGTTTTCTATGTTTTTTTTCTTCCAAATATGCAATACATTTGTGTGTTCGCTACTTTCCAGAAGCGTTCCGAAATGAGTACGTATACAGGGTTTTTCCGAGTTCTAGTTTCTAGTGAAGGGCAATGACAAATGTATCGACGGATGTATGCAATATTTTGCTTCAGATTACACATGTTTTGGTGTAGATATAACCAGTGATATCAACTTTGTTGGGTTAGTTACGTTAGTTGCTTCCAAGTCCAGGTTATATACAAATCAAATTCATCTATATTTTCAATGTCCTAAATCAAATATAGTTATATAGATTCTTGACGATAACGATGTTAGATATTTTCTTAGTTTTATTACTACTATGACTCCAAACACATTACAATTTTTGTTGTTAACAATGTTATGGATAATGGTACTAATCGATTTTCAGAGGAAAATCATTCTGGAAATGGTTCTTCCGGTGTTGGAAGTAACCAAATTTGTAACTTATTACATATGACAACCAACCATGTTCCTTCTTACAAGGACCCTCTACATGGGGTGATTATAGGTTTAAAGTTAAGGTTGTTGTTCAGGATGACCTTAATGTTGATGTACAATTCAATATAATTTATTGTCAGATTCCGAATAAAAAGTCACTTATATTACTTAATGAATAAAAAGTAATATTTGCATAATATTTGTGTACAATTCAATATAAATTTATATCTATGATCCAACATCCTAACGTCGTACAACCCAACGTTTCCATTGTTGGGTGGGGGTGTGACAGCCACTAACTACTGATACTCTAACCAACATACCACTACTCCTATATACTAACATACATGGATATATAATGTAACACATAGTATATTGAAGAAAATCACCTCAATCGAAGACTCACGTAAACACAGCAACACACTCACTCCCTGCACTGATCACTTCCACGAACTGAATAGCACCAAACCAAGGTAGAAACTTAATCAATAACCCAATTCCTTCAAGTTCGACCCAATGTCAAACTGGTCAAAAAGTCAACAGTAGACCTAGTCAACCCCCACAACGATGTGGAGGAACCTTAGCTACATCGTGGGAACATCAGGGAAAAACAGTCGTGAAGCTGAGAACCACCACGTCGTGGGAACTGACAAGTTTACATATTCTTCATTAAGTGCTTAATCCTTATAGATCTAAGCCCAATACTTCATATCTACTTCTTTTCAATGACTCCATTTAAAGGCTATATCTACAACCCTAAGTCCATTAAGTCATTAATGGGGCCAAAACTTGAGTATGAACACAAAGGGACTCCAATCCTAACTCGGTTTTCTCACTTTTTCAGAACATAATGACCATAAGAGGCCATCCACAAGCTCTAGAGTTCTTCGACTCCCAAAGCATCCATATAAAAGGGCTAAAATCCTCAAAAATGAGTTCATACTAAAAACAAAAAGAATATTGGCCAAGGTATGAACTTTATACCTCCAACAACTCAGATTTCTGAAGAGGATGTTGGAACCAATCTTGCTCTTTGTTCCCTTGCTTCCTTGTGATTTCCTTCTTCCTCAAGCTCCATCAAAAATCCACGAAATAAGCTTCAAATCATAGAAACAAGCTCTAAAATATTCATGGAGGATAAGGTTTCGTTTGGAAGGGTTGAAGGTTGAAGAGGATGCCTTAAACCTTGAGTTTAGGGGCTTAAATATGGAAGAAACCCTAAAAGATCATGAGCTTGGGTTGCAGCTGATGCCACGTCGTGGCCTTCCAATTGTCACGTCGTGGTGGCCATCCGGATATATGCATTTTGCATGGCATGTTGTGGTTCTCCATTCACCACGTCGTGGCACAAGGATTTTCCCAAAAACCCTACCTTTGACCCCTCTAAGCCCTCAACCGATCTATTCTGTAAAACTAGTGTTACATCGTTGCTTATCTTGAGACCCATAATCAAAGTTGTTGCTTCTGACAGGTGCATGAATGCTCACCTATTGGTGATTGATTTAAAGAGAATTTAACATGGAGTCTTGATTAGTTTTAACTCCACAAAGGACAATTGACCTTATTTTAAGAAATAAACCATATTTCTTTATTTGTTATCAGAAGGGTTTACAAGCTACATACTCCAAGAGAGAGATCCAATACCTGAAATGCTCTTCATCACGCGTGGCAGAGTGATAAGATTCACAACTCGTGGTGGAAGGACTAACTTCTTGAACTATACTGACCTTGGGGTTGGTAACTTTTGCGGATAAGAGCTTCTAACATGAGCTTTGGATCCTGCAACTCTAGAACTTCATTTCTCAACTAGAATTGTCCAAGCAGTTACAGATGTTGAAAATAACAAAGAAACAAAGCACTACCAGGAGGTCTGTTTTGGTTTATTGTGGTGGATCTTTTGTTTCTTGGAAAAGTAAGAAACAAAGCACTGTGTCGAGATCATCTATTGAATCTGAGTATCGTGCTTTGGGTTCTATCACTTGTGAAATTTTGTGGATTTTGAAGATTTTATGTGATCTTGGTTTTAAAATTCTAACCCTTGTATATGTTATTTGTGATAATGCTATCAAATTAACTCTTAATCTAGTTTTTCATGAAAAAACCAAAACAATTTGAAGTAGATGTACATTTTGTTAGAGAGAAAATTGAGAGTGGTATCTTGAAAGTTATTAGAAGTGATTCATGTAACCAAAGTTATTGATATTTTTCTAAAAAATGATTTTTTATGTTAATTTTGAATGGGGGTGTTAAAAATAAAATATTTTATATTTCAAAGTTAACATTTATTTCTTTTATGATTATATTTTACATTTGGGTATTTTGTATCGATATGTATTTTGTGTAGGGTATATTGTGTTGAATGATGCAGGTTTGTTAAAGGTTCGTGGGGTTGTCAATCTGTGGATCATTCTTGTAACTCGACTATTTATTCCATATGCTTAATTCATTATTCACATGCATATTTCAGAAAATTGCTCACTTTAACTCTCATTTTAGGGTTTTATCTTTCATGTACTAGGGTTTCTAGTTCTTGATTCCTTGTTAGCATCCGAGAGAAGAGTGTTATTGTAGTGAGTTTTTATATGTAATTGTTGATGTATTACATTCTGATTCATTAATAAGATTAACCGATCAAGTTGTGAATACTTGTTTAGATTTTTTATGATGCATGCAAATAGCTACACCTTATTTTAAATTATTAACCTAACTTAACTAACTAAATTACACCTAGGCAGTGTACCTAGTCAAATTATAGAATAGTGTGGGTAAGTCGGGTGTTGATCACAGGGAACAGTTTTAACTAATTAATTTACCTACTACTAAGTTAACCTAAATTTCTAGCAAAGTATTGGTTTTTATCTAATTTTACAAGTTTAGATGAACTTAATTCTTTAACACAAATCAATCAATTAACAAATCACTTCTGTTAGTTCGAATCCACTTTACCTCAATAGTTTGTAAATTATTTATGACAATTCCTGTTGGTTACCAATTAGAATATTATTAGCAATTCAGTTACAAATTTACTAATATAAATTAATTCATGTATATCTATGTATGGTCACACATAATTTAACACATAATCAATTATTAAATAGAATTGGAGCTATGTAAGAATGAGTTAACAAACACATTATGGTCATAATATGAGTTCTCTACCACAACCTAATTTAACAATTCGATTACTTATCTAAGATTGGTTCGATTTTAGCTCTAATAAGCTAATGTTCACTAGATTACTAGGTATTCAAATTCATGTAGATTATTGGTCATTAACTACACAAAATAAGACATTAAAGCAATCTAATATTAAATCAAACATGCTAGGTATACCAATCAAACACAAGACATAACCAACAAGTAAAGTCTAGATTAATAGAATAAAACCAAGAGTTCCAGCTTCATCTAATTAACAGAAGCATCTAGATTTAGCTGGACATTCTAACAAATAAATTCAAATAATCCATAGTAAAAAACATATTAAAAGTACCGAACTAATATCGAATTATGACTTCTTCTTCCTCCTTGGTGTTAAGAACAATTCCCATGCCTTCTTTTTCTGTGATTTTCGACTTCTGAAACCTTTCCAAGTCAGCCAACCTCCCAAAGTCGTAGGGATCAAGGATATATATAGTTTTTGGATTTTGTTCAATTCACGTCGTGAGCTTTGAAGGCTCACCTCGTGGATCCAGTAGATATCTGTATTCAAACACAGATTCCTGATCCGCGATGTTTATCTTCTAGAAGGCCTAACTCACGTCATGAATTGTTTAATACTCACCTCGTGAGTATGTATTTTTCTGAATTTCTTATCTTTCAAGCCTTTAACCTCCAAAGTTACATTCTTTAACGCTTTTAGTCCATTTTCTTCAAAATGCCTTCTTTTTTATTGCAAAATATAATTTAGCATTATAAGTACCATTATTCCATGCAAATAACCAAAAATGTATATAAAATATATTCAAATATTACCCAAAAGTATGTATAAATACGGCAATATCATTTTACAAAAGCACATAAGAGTTCTTTTTGTCTACTGATAGGTCCATTTTATGCACCTATTTTGCATGTTTAATTTCGTCATTTCATAGCATTCTACTTCATAGTTCTTGCATTTAGTAATTATTTGGGCAACTGCATATATCATTAAGAATGCATGGTACTTCACTATTTTTGATATACTTTTGCAGGCATTATGGAGCATGGAGCATGGAACTTGGAGCTTGGAGCTTTGGATCTTGAAGAGAAGTGGGACCGGTCATGTCATGGAATAAAACATGAAGACATAACCCGAATCATTGTTGCATTGTCATCATAGTAGATGACTACGTTTGAAATGTGGTTCTTGTCACATCGACACGAGTCGTGTTTGTCCTTTCTCATATTAAATTTGAGCAACATAACTCGTGGTGAAGTTAGACTGAAGATGGAGCCAACACTGAAAACTTATTGGATCTTTAGCTAAAAGCATGGGTCATGCCAAAAACACATGGTCAAGACAAATGGTCATGCCAAAAACACATGGGCAAAAGGCATGGCCATGCTAAAAACGCATGGCCTTATGGCATGCACGTGAACATTAATTAAAACAGGAGAAAGCGTCATTTTTATGGGCGGTTTCTGGAGCAATTTTTGGGTGATCTTGGGCGATTCTAGGAGACTTCTTAGAGCTTTTGAGAAGACCTAATCATTGCAAACACTTTTGATTTCATTTTTTTAAGCATTAAACATTTCAATTCCGTCTTTAGTCTTGTTTGATTTGTTTTTAGTCATGTGTGGCTAAGAAACTCTGGTTTCTAGTTCTTGTTCAAAACATGTTGATTGCTTGACTTGAAACATGTGCTTTGATGTTTGATTTGTGATTATATTCCAGTGGTTATGTTTTTGTTTAAACTAGAATCCTTAAATTTGATTTGTCACTTTCATGAATTGATTTTTTGTGTAGTTAATTAACTTTTAGAGCACCTAATCGTTCTATAAAGTTAATGATTGGTAGCAAACTAGGTTTTCTTATTGTAAAACATTTATCGCATGTTTTCACACTTCCAAACGTATAAGAAGAAATGAACATTGTTGGAAAACTTATACAAAACTTAATGTAGTTTTTCAATACAATCTAAGAGCGTGTTTAGATTGAATTAGTAAAGCTAGGTCTAGTTAAAGAGCGTATTTTGGTTAGGTAATTTGGCAAGCAAGCGGTATTAGAGCGTGTTAATATTTTCCCATACCAACTTAGAATAGCAATCACAAATTACATCAAGTCACAATCAGGTTAAATGACAACATTGAGAACTAGAAATGGAAGCACTTTTACAACTTATTTACAAATCTATTTCGTTTTCTACATGTTTCAAAATTGATTGTTAATTTTTATTATTTGACATTTGTAAACAATCCCCCCTTTGTGACCAAAGTACCTTACGCAAAGAGGTATAGACTTTTATCTTGTTTCTCTATGGTTCAATCTTGTTTGTCTTATACTACCTTTTAGTGCATTAACGCAGTGTATTTAGATTCTGTTGTACCCCTATTATATGTTGGGTTTGACATGCCCAACATCTACTCTTAAAAGATTTGCCATTTTTAAAAGTCAGATTACCTTTAGTAACTCCGGATACGAAGAAAAAGGTAAGAAGTTTCAGAAGTTTGATTTTGTGGAAGTAAGTCAAATGTTGACTTTGGTGATTTGGAAATTTGTTATGGGTGGAGAAGGCGATGTCTAATGTGGAAATGAAGAACAAAGAATCGACTTATCAAGCATGGCTTAGGTGCAAGTGATGTCCAACCTAATTGGGTTGATGCACCGAGTTTTATACCCATATGGAGCATGAGATTGGAAATTCGATTCCCTTAAACTACATCTTGTGGTGCCACATGTGGGAAAAATTTTCTTGGAAATCCCTATAGGGGCTAAGTTTGTCCTCTAAAGAAGCTCGAACTCGGGGTGCTCGTTGATATATTACAAATGGGCTTCTACTTAATTTGTTTGCCGTTTCAAAAAAAAAAAAAAAAAAAGCATGGCTTGGGTATTATAATTCAAATAAGACAATTGGGAAGGATAAATATAGGCTAGTAGAGCTTGCAAATGAGTATAGCTGAAGCATGGGGCATGATAATCCACCTGCAATTCCTAGACTTTGTTCTAATAAACTCTACAGATTGTAACAAAAGTTGAAAGTTTATTATATACACTAAACGTTCAACAAAACAAGTATTCAAGGGTAAGCTACAACTTCTTCATTTGATTCTTCTATTATAAATGATACACTGAACATTGTCACAAGAGGGTGAAAAGAAGTTAGTACATACTTGTGTCTTTGTGGTACTACAAATGCTAACCAATATCATCATCATCATCAGTCAAAACCCCAGCAACACAACGTATACCAGGGTCATGGATAAGCCTAAAAATATTCTACATCTCAAGAAAGAGTTTTATACTGAAATAAAAGTACATATCATCATCAGCCCCTACAAGGCGATGATGCAAAATAAAAAAGTAAAGAAAACAAAATGGAAAAATAAAATCTTCCCAACAACATACCCCCCAACTTTGGCAGCTTACACACAAGTCCGTTTATGGGATTCGACCTTTTTAGAATATTTGAAACGGTTTGTTACCTTTGACCATGAAGACTTTCTGTGTGTATTTTGTTTTTGTAAGGCCCCAAAATGGAATCTTGATGATCGCCTTTGGCAAATGGCAAGTGATGTGGCAGATGAACAGAATCAAATCCTCCTGTTGTCAACAATACAAAACCTTCATATTCTAGTTTAAAAATAAATATATTTGCTGGTTATGGTTCTTATATAAATAAATTGATGGTATAGATTTCGATCCATAAGCTTCCTTCATCAAAATAGTCGAGTAATTTCCTTAAAGAACTGAAGCCATTAATTTCCTTCCATTTTGGAAAGGGCATTTTAGACGGTTGACAAATAATCAAAGTATTTTCCTTCTACTCTCAAAGTTCATTATAAATGATAATGGGAAAACACTACTTCCTGACCTAAATGAGACTACTGTGAAAAAAAAAAATCAAGATTAACTTACAGCAAAATAAGTTACCTTTGATGATGTGGCGATGAAGGCCGATCTGGTGAAGGCCGTTGTTGTAGAGAAGCCCCATATAACCGATTTTCCTCAAATGCCCCTCTTCTTTCTCGACCTCCCTCATTTGTCTGTGGCTGTGATTGCTGTTCATTCACACCAGAAAACCCAACCGGACCTATTGACCCAAATTCAAGCTGTTCACTATGTGAACCATAACCCGTGTTATTATTGTCATACGAATACACCATCACCATTGAAGGAACACTTGACCCATTGGCAGATGATGGGTTTTGATACATCCCAACCCCATGACTTGAACTCCCATGTAAAGGACCATTCTGGGTCTGATATGTAGCAAATGTATCATGTCTATATGATGAATTCACTGATCTTTCTGCCCTAAACGAGTTTGATTTATCCATTTGGTTACGATTATGATTCCGGTTTGAGCCTCGTGATTTTGAATTCCCATTCCAGTTACCTTCATTGTGATTCTCACTTCTATCATGGTTGTAGTTCCCCCTTCTTGACCCTGAACTATGTCTCTCCCTTACAGACACCTTCTGTAAAAAAAAAAAAAATACAAACTTATCAGAAAACAAGCAGCATAAGGAGTAAAAAAAGAAGGGTAAAAAGGTAAAATTGTCTTACGGGATTTGGAAGATAAGTCCCGGTCCCGCTGCGGTATCTTGGAAGATCTTCACGTTGTTGGTAAACATTTGGCGGTCTGGAAACGGATTGAACCGGTGGTGGTGCTGCAACCGGGACAAGGCGGGGCCCGTAGTTCATCAGCTGAGTCACTATATTCATATTTGGTAACGGTCTTCCCGGGCCGTCCCATGGGACCCGCCCCTGTAAGTAGACCGGTGGGACCATGACAGGTGAAGGGTATACTGTGGGCCCATGCTGACGTGGACTTTGACAATACCTACCGAATTGTAGATTCTGCCAATGGCTGGCAAAGTCACTGTTGAGGATATCAGATGGTGTTTCACCAGGAGCTGCTCCTCTCAAACCATCCGGATTGAATTCCTCTGATTGGTTGTTGATGATGTCACCATTCTCAATGCTGACATCATCACTGAAATGACTGGTTGATGGATCAGATGGGCTGGGTTGTGATGGGACATTGTAGAATGGAAGCATTGTCAGGAAGGGAACGGGTGGGCCCGTGGGGTAAAATGTCAAGGGCATCGCTCCGGAATTATCCATCATTCTTTGTCTGTTATGGCCTAGAATCATTGGAGCTATAGGGACGATTGAGTCATTTCCACTTGTTTGAGCCAATTCATATCTTGGAGCATGCATAGAAGAAGACACAGACTGAGGTCTATCTGTCGCCTCAGAGTCCATGTCATCGTCCTCGGACTGGTGTGCTGATGCTGACGTGGACTCAAACATGGTCTTCCCTTTTACATATCCACTTGATGACTCAGCAGAGACAATTACCTTTTTCCCACGTTTTTCCTTTTTGGAGACTGTTGAACTCTCGTCCCATGAACTTTCTGATGAAGTTTTACTTTTTAATGAGTTACTGTGAGCAGCAGATGAGAATCTTGAACTTGCAGTTCTTTCATCATCATTTACTACTCTATTCTCTAAATGATCCGAATGTGAATGTGAATGATCATTGTTGTTCCTCATGGGCCCACGCTTTTCTTTGTTATACTTTTGTTGACTTCTTGCTACCCCACCAGATCCACCTACACGCAGAGGCGGAGGAACATAACTTAATCCTGATGAGGTTGACTGACGCTTAACATCTAATGGAACAATTTCAGAATTCCCATCTTGTCCCTGCGACCAGGAATCATGTTCATGATCAATAGAGTTGATTTCCAGAGAGTTAAAATTATCATTCACAGGTTCCATTGGATCTTCGGAATTTGTCATTCCGATTCCGGAAAAGAAATGGTTTAGTTGAGGTGAGACGAGGCCATGGGGAAACTGCATTCCGGCATATGCAGGATCAATCATGGGAAAGTTTGTGAAATTCCTTTGTGCGTATCCCATTCCTGCTAGAAAAGATGGGGAGAATGGAAATGGTAATTGACTCATTGGCATATGAACTTGACCATTGAATCCATGAAGTCCAGAAGATGCCATCATGTTCACAAGATCTTGTTCTTCCTGATGCATTTGTTCACTCATGGAAGGTAATCCCAAGCCTGAATCATGTTGATACAAACTTGAACCATTATTCGAATCAACAGAAGCATCAATGTTCTTCCTCCTGTTACGATAGCTGCTATTTGAAATTGATACCCCCTGTGTGTCGGGGGCAGTTTGGGGATTTGCAATTTCAGGTGCTCTGTTAACCCTACCTTGAGAAGAAACATCATTGTATGAATCTGTTAATTCAGGACTGGATCGTGTTCTAGCAAAAGGAGACCTTTGAATGTCATTGACCAATTGACCAGATATCAAATTCTTCTGTCCTCTGTTTAAGTTTCCATGACCCTTCTGGGCACGAGGAGCTGCAGTAACATCAGGGGTAGTTTGGGGTTTTCCACTTTCCGACTGACGAGATGAATTGCGGGAACGGGTGTCTTCTACCTCACTCTCACGCCCAACAGAGTTTCTGAATTTTTTTCCAGTTGAATTGATCTTTGAAATATCAGTGAGAGGTTGACTTTCAGATACTGAAGTCAAACAACCAGGTGCATCAGGGCGAATGCCACTGCCATGTCGTTCCCATGTATTGGTAAAAAACTGATTGACCTCAGCAACTAGATTTTCCTGAGGGCAATCTAGTAATCTTGCTAGCCTTTTAGCCCCAAAAGCAAATGCACTGCGTATTCTGAAGAAATTACCTGAAAGCAAGTGATCACATATATCATACAACATGACAAGAAGTTCAAGCTGTTTTATTGTTGATATAATTCATTAAATAAGAAGCATTGTGTATAATTATAAATGTTAAGATGATAATATAAATAAATAAAAAATACCTTTACTGACACTGCGTCCAAGATTATTACTAACACGCAACGGATCAATAACATTAAAATGTTTGGAAACAAAAGTTTGGCCTTGGTTGTCCTGACCACCAGGAAAAACAGCATACACAGAGCTACAAGCATCAAGAAATACTTTGTTCAACAGCAATTCTCCACTGTCCTTACGAGGTGGCTCAGCTACAGTTTTATAAGAATACATCCACATCAGCATAAAGTCAAACATTGACTTCTGTCGATTATATTATTGAGAAGAAACTAGAAACATCATCATACACTATTACCAGTCACATCTGGAAGTGAGCTTATTGGCACAGGACCCCACAAGCTAACACAGAAGTTTTCCCAGTCGAAATTACTAAAGAACTCCAGAAAACGGTAAAGTACCTGAAAATGCAGTGAGAGCATTCATAAACAAAGGTTCCAAACACATATATGTAAGGGTATGTTTGTAAAATGTATGTTAAACAACCTCAAGAGGTCCAGCAAAAGAATTGTTGAAAACATGGAATATGTAAAGAACCAAAGTCTCAAGGGCATAAGTTGATATGAGCCCATGGTGAGCACCAAGTATGCGGCTCTCATAATAACACCAGGCTTTGATCAGTATAATGCTCCTCTTAAACAAATGGTTCTGATTTATCAGATTATCAACCTCCTCAAGAAAGCAAAGGGTACACAATCCTCCAAGCTGATTAAAAGATATATCTACCACAATGTTTTCAACAAGGCACTTTATAATCTTCACCTGTAGTTAAACAAACCATAAAGAAATCAGCTTGTAAACAAGTTGAGAAAAAAGATTGATGGCAATTAAAGGTAAAAAAAAAGTAGCATTAGCGTACTTCTGCTTGAATGTATTGAACCTCCTTCACATGAAATTCTGCATTCTCATTTTTCTCCTCGATCTCCAACATATCACGAACTTCACTCGCCCATGAGTCCTTCAAGTTTGCACTGTTACTGAAGGCTGTTAAGTCAATATCTCCATCAGGTAGATACGTTTTAAGGGGTACAGACCCAAAAGTAAAAACCTGGAACACAGAAAGTAATAAGAGGGAATACGATACCACAGTATTTAAGAAAGAAAACGAAAATGATGAAGAAGCACCTGGCAGGGGAAGCACTTCATAATAAGTCTTTGTACATAATCAGCGACAGCATTCCTTCGTTCTTCAGATGGCTGATTGGGTTGAATGCGGGAAATAAGCTCTGCAGTTCTTTCCTCAGCTTTCAACCATCGAACTGAATCTAAACTCTCTAGCAACGGACCTGCATTGGGCAATAGCCCATTTGGCGATAGGCCGCCTCGGGGCTGTGACCATTCCTCATGGTCGCCCATGCAAGATAACTCTATGCTACCCAAAATTCCAGGCGATTCAATCCCCCAAGTCGAAGTTCAAAACTTGTTGATGTCCCCCAAATTTTCAAAAGGTTTGATTGCAAAACGTAACGTAGTTTTCAAATCACAAAAACATGTAATTGCATATGAACATATAAGCACTAAAAGTGTATGAACAACCCTAAAGAGATGATACACTGAAGGTGGGAACTTTGATTTGAAATGAATGGCAGAAAAATTTGTCAAAAGTAACAAGGATTTCTTTCTCCACCACAAACCCTAAAAAGGGACCCCCTACGAAGAGAAACTACTCGGGAAGCTCAAATAATTCGTAGAAAATCCGATCATAAAGATCGGTAAGAGGATTGTCAACAAAACCCTAACACGAAAAAAGGGTTATATTCGATGACAATCAATCTGGAAATCAACGAGAAATTTCAAACAAACATATAGGATAAAATTTACGATGTCGCTTGGAATTATCAGTAAGAATCATTAATCGAAGAAATAGATAGAGTGTGTGTGTTTGGTGAGAGCGCCAATTTTGAGGGTTTTCTGTGTGTTGGTAAAATCGGATATATAGAAAGAGAGAGATTAACGTTGCGAATTTCTGGGGTTTTTTTATCTGCAAAATTGAAGTAAAGGGTTTTAAACTGCAATTGGAAATTTGGGCAAATGATGAAAATTGATGATCGCAATCTGGGAGAAAATGGAAACTTTTGCAATTATACACAAAAGAAAAAAATATATATATATTTAAAAAAAAGTTACAATATAATCGAAAATCAATAAATTGTACTATATGATTTAGCACAATTATGGCTGAAAAACATGACGATTAATCGCGTGGGAATTGTTATGATAGAATAGAACCCTAATTTGTGCATCCTATTGGGCCCAAGAATCCATAACTCGGAGCCCAGACTGTGTGATAATAATACTGAATGAGAATTGCGAAAACATCAAGGATTTTTCCTTTTTTACTTACCTATATGTATATATCTTCATTTCGAAGCGATAAAAATGCAAAATGAAACATATATACAATCATAACATGAAAACTTTCAACTTGTATGTCAAAAATGAAATATTTAACCAACTAATAATATGTTTCATTATATATGAAAAAAAAATGAGGTATACCCTTATGAACACATACGATGCATTTTGTGCATTTCAGATTTTAGCCACCACAGCTTTTTGCCATAATATTTTGTGAGGTTGGCAGTTTTGGTCCTTAGAATGAAACCACCAACTTTCTCCACTGATAGTCTTCTTCCAAAAAAGATGTTCACATATGTGCACCGCATCATATTGTTTTCATTGTTTCTTTCATTTCTCTTTCCCATACGACTACGCATCAACATAGTTAAATCGATATTATTCTATTTCATGGATTTCCCTGAAAATCATCAACGCTTTTCTCTACTTTGTTTCTTTTTTCATTCAACTTTTAATTTCTTAAATAAAAAATAATAAAATAAGTAAATAAAAACTAATCTTAGCCATCACATATAATCTTCACCACGAGTAAGCCACCACTCACCAATCACCATCATCTCCATTGCACCATTAATCAACCATGTTTGCTCTGCCTCCCAAAATTGGTTCCCTTTTTTGTGCACTCGGTTGAATTGAACCAGTATCAAACCATCTCATCTTTTATCAGCCACCACCTCCAAGAAAATCTCTTCTACACCCTTTAAACTATCGTCTGAAACATTTATTTTGCTTTTTTTTTTCAAACACCAATACATTGATATGGTTCACAAGTTCATATGTTCTTTGACAGATTCACAACTTCACAAATTTGAATTATATATTTGTTGACTAATCGATTTTCCGGTTTTAGTTTTTAACGGTGTTTGTATTTTGACTTATTTCTTATGTGCAGAGGGTTCCCTACGTTTTGGGTGTGGGTGTACTTTCTGATACATGACGTTTATTCCTCAACTTGATCGTTTACATGTTCTGAGGTTTCTCCCATATTAATCGGTTCCTCGAATTTGCGTCTACTCCGATTTCGTCGACTGCTTGGTATGCTTTTTTACTCCTTTTCTGCCTTCGATTGTTTGGTTTTTGATTTTTACTGTTGTGTTTAAGGTTTTCATGCTTATGTTGTAACGAACCGAATTTTCCCACTTTGCCATTAATGTTAGTTCCGTTATATTTTCATGTTAAGTTATTTTTTCTATTGATTTAACTTTTGGAGGCTTAAGTGTAAGAAATGGTCATTTGATCATGCATACATGTCATATAGTCATTTCTACACATTTTGAGGGCCTAACATGAAATTTTGGCATGTATTTGTTCTCCACTTAACCCTAATCCAAGATTTATGAACCATTTGCAGCCAACAAACCCTATTCTAAGCCTTCGCCTTGTTGAGAGAGTGTTCTAGGATTCTTGCATTTGGTTGTGAGTTTAAGTGAAGAAGGAATGTGAATCATTGGTGTATTTGGTGGACTCTTGGTGGGACTCTTGAAGCTTTTCCTTTAGCATCATCTTGGTGATTCATCTCTAGATTTCCAGAAGGTAAAGACATCTACCTTTGATTCGTTTTGTTTCCCTACAAACCACACATAAGAAAGAACCTTGAATAATGCAAAATTCTTGGTTTTGGTGTGTTAGTTGGTCCGATTCTTGTCCCTATCAGTCTAAGTCACTTAGAAATGGTATTTAGGGATTAAGATCACCACAATAGAGGTTTTGAACAGACCCAAACAAAGCAGAATAGGGTTATCAATCGATGATCAAAATTTGTAATTGGTCAGTTCTCACGACGTGCACATCCATTTGCCACGTCGTGACGATGGTACTTTGATAATCTGGGACCGCGTCTGATTCATGACCACGACATGAACGTTAAACTGCCACGTCGTGATGATAGGGAAACTGGCTGGTCAAATCTTAACGGCTATTTTGATCATGACGTGGACATCCTAGCGTCACGACGTGACGACATAAAAAATGATCAGGCCAGAATCACGATGAACATTAGGCTCACGACGTGACACCATATTGGCCACAACGTGAGACATGATTAGACATAACCATTTTTATTTTGTGTTTTATTTTTAATCAGTTCTTTGTGTAATCTTTTAGGGGTATTGGAGTACTTGCTTGAAGGTGATTTTTCTCTGTTCATAGCTTCACATAAAATTGGACTAGAGGTGAGTCATTTCTTGTAGTGATTTAAGCACTTGTTTGGAAAGATAGCATGCACCTTACTTATGTTGTTGTAAAATTGATTTTTTGTGATGTTATAAAGTGAATAAAATGAGATAAATGCAACCTCGACATGTGAAGTTATATTGAGACAATTGAATTTAGGAATCCTTGGTATGCTAGAATTCTTAAATTAATCATGT